AGGAAGGCAAAGGCAAAAGCAACCTTGTTTGCTGCTGTTTCAACCACCATTTTCACGAGAATCATGTCTCTCAAAATAAAAAATAAAAAAGAAGTTTGGGGTTATCTGGAGGAAGAATATGCAGGAGATGAAAGACACGAGGCATGCAGGTACTGAATTTAATAAGGGAAATCGAGCTGCAAAAAATGATAGAGTCTGAGACAATCAAAGATTACTCATGTAGACTGCTTGGTTTATTGTCAACAAGGTAAGGTTACTCGGCAGTGAATTTACTGATTCAAGAATTGTAGAAAAAATTCTTATCACTGTACCTGAAAAATATGAAGCTTCAATAACCACCTTGGTGAACACAAAGGATCTGTCCAAGATCACCTTGGTAGAGCTATTAAATGCCTTGCAGGCTCAAAAGCAGCGGAGACTTATGAGGTGAGATGGCGTTATTTAAGGAGCTTTGCCAGTCAAACACTAGGATGCCGGGAGGAACAAAATCAAATCTCAAGTTGTGAGAGTACATCAAACAACCACAATCGAAGCAAGGGTGTGAGCTCAAAAAGAAATTATCCCCCTTGTAAGCACTGTGGTAGATCAGGTCATCCACCATTGAAGTGTTGGAAGAGACCAGATGCAAAGTGTAGCAAATGCAATCAGCTTGGACACGAAGCTATAATTTGCAAAAGCAAATTTCAAAAGCAAGAAGTAGACGCCCAAGTTGCCGAACAAGATGAAGAAGACCAGATTTTCATGGCAACATGTTTTTCGACAAAGATCTCTTTAGAATGTTGGCTGATTGATATTGGTTTCACAAACCACATGACTTATGACAGAACGCTCTTTAAGAAGTTGAAGCACACTGGAATCAAAGGTTAGAATTGGAAATGGTTGTCATATTTCTGTAAAAGGAAAATGAACCATTACAATTACAACAAACTTGGGTACAAAAATAATATTTGATGTTTTTTATGTACCTGATATTGATCAACATCTGCTGAGTGTAGGCCAGTAATAGAAAATGGATTTAAAGTGTTCTTTGAAAATTAGTACTGTCATACTCATGATGCCGCTGGACACGAGATTTTGCAAGCTAAAATGAGAGGCAAAAGTTTCTTATTTGTCCCAATCGTTGAGGAGCACACAGCTTATACCACTGAGTACAGCATCATTGAAATCTAGCACAAGAGGCTCGGACATTGTCATCTTCAACGAATGGTGAAAATGAAGAAGAATGATATGATGAGGGGCCTACCTGTAGCAACCCAAAAATTTTAGAATAAAATCTATTTATTTCACATGTTATATAATTACAATTTTTTTTTTAAGTTGAGGACTAAAATGAAAAATACTTTTAAATTTCTATTTATTTATTATTATTATTATTATTATTATTATTATTATTATTATTTTTTTTTTTTGCCAAATAATTAGATTTTGATAGATAGAGATTTAGTATATCAATGTTGGGCTCATTGGATAGTTTCATTAAATGATGCACCATAGACTCGAGAAAAAGTTATTTCAGATAAGTGATGCCCAAGATATTAAGTTCAAAGATGTTATTTTTATTTGATGAATAATTGAAGTTGGTTTATGATTTTAGATAACCATGATTTCACATGTACAAAAAAAATCCTGATTTGATTAGGATAAATGTTAATTGTTAATAATAATCCTAAGTAAATAACTATCTTATTTACCCAACAGATACCATTAATTAGCCAATTAGGTGTAGCGTACGCATTGTTTGATTATTTTAGAAAACAAATCCTAAAGCAAACCAAAATCTTCTAGCAGTCCTCAATTATAATGATAAAACAATATTTTTCCCGAAATCAGGTAGATATTGCGACGAAATTCATTTGAGTCCTACCTACCTATATAGACACGTATGCATGGATAGAATAACAAACCAATTAGGGTTAAATAAAATCATGATCACATACTTCAATGCATAAACCAACTCTCTATCACACGTGATTTATTTGAGATAAGACAAAAGGGTAATACAAATCAAATAAATCTTTTGGATTAAATAGGACTTATCTTTTAGTATAGTCACCCCTATATAAAGTTCATGCATTCCAAGCATATACCCACAAAAATTTCAGAAAGCTTTTACCTAAAGAAAATAAATAATCAAGTCAGAGAGAATGAAGCATTAAAAGGGGTTTTCACGTGAATTTTTTGGTCCATTACAACTTTTCAAATCAACGAGGTAAGATATTTTATATGCAAGTTTTTTCGTTTCCTTATGCTTTTATATTCGATTAAATATGCATAGATTGCCAGTAGATATTCGTTCTTTAAGAGATATGAAATCTTACGGGTTTATAAGATAACCTAAGATGAGTGTGTCGCTTGGTCACCGATATACTCCATAAGATCAGAGTGGTATGAAATATAATTTTTATTGTTATATATATATATATATATTTGTATATAGAAACTGCACGTATCTTACTGGGTGTTTTCGAATACTCACTCTCACAAATTTTTACAGGTTAGTTCGAGTCGATTGGATTTGTAATAGGACAATGACACGGGCTGTCAAGAGGAACGTAGGAACAAAGAATAAAATTTTCATTAAGTTTTTCTACCTTCGTAATTATTTGTTGATTTATTTTAAAACATGCTTATTGTTATTTTTCAAATACGATTGCTATTTTTACTTTAAATTTCTGAATGCCGCAGTTATTAGTTATTAAATAATTTTATTTTGATCTTTTGTTATGCCAAATTAAAGAAAAATAAATTTTTGGTAACGCTCTGGTATTATGAAAATTTGGGGCGTTACAGCTTGGTATTAGAGCACGTTTTGACTTTTCTGTAGACTTTTTTTTTTAAATCCAGAACAATTCACGTGTACTGTAAAGATATTTAAAAAAAAAGTTTTGAAAAAAAAACTTGAACAATTAAAATTACTGTTCACGTGAACAGTAACAAAAAAAAAAAGAAATTTTGAACTTTATGTTTTTATTTATTTATTTTTTTTTAAAGTTAAATATTTGTGTTTAAGTCAATTTTGAATGATAGTAGTTTAGAATTTAAATTGTTATGGTTTCATGACTATGGTTCATGTTTTAAGAGATTTCACGTTCGATTTATTATTTGAATTTTTTTTTGAATTGCGTAATTACAAAATTGAAAGGCTTTGTCAAAAAGGCCGAAACTATCTAAGAAGAGATTGAGATTTAAGCGGTCAAACTGTGACCTTCCTCCTCATTTGAAGGCCTTTTAATTGTGTATTATTCAAATCGACAAGAAGAAAGACAATATTTCGGACAATTCTAAATTTAAGAAAATCCAACATTTTGAAACTTCTATTTTGAGAAAATTTTATTAAAAGATATATACATGTACAGTTAAAAAAATGGGATTTTGTGAAATTTCTTATGTAAAATGGGATTGTGTGCCTTAATTAATATGTAATTATATACATACTTTGAAACAAATCTTTCAAATGTTATCTGACAATTACCTTTAAGTAAATATTAATTTTTATAATATAAGTTAATTTCTTAAAATACTACGTGGTTGTTATATAGCTGTGTTTGTACTTATGTGTTATTACTATGATTTTATTTTCAAAGATGTATATGTATGTATTATATGTTTGTGTTTAAATAACCGTTTATAACATGATTTTAAATGATGCTACTGTTGTTAGGAACTTTTATTTGTTTATTTTTTCTATTCTAAGAAATTCATAAATAATTATAGTCAAATCATTTATAAAAAAAAAAAAAGAAAAAGAAAATAGGGAGTTTAAAGGATAATGTAGTTTTTTTAAACAAATAATGTTATAAGAACACTTAGCACGTGGCGCTCACCATTCGACTACTTTGCAGTTGATCTCGGGTATGAAATGAATTATTTTCATTCTTAATTTCTAGCATGGTTATGAATCATATTTCTACAAATTATGAAATGTATAAGCACGTTCACCTCGCATAATTTATTTGTCATTTTTTTTCATTTTACTAGAATATTATTTATGCACTGAGAATAAAATAATATTGATAAAGCAATATTAGACGTAATTGAAATTATACTTGTCACGTGATTAGGATGACTAGGAATAACCCAACATACCTCCAGCGTGCTGAAATAGCCCTTGAGAACTACATGAATTATGAAGTAAGATGGGAGCAAACTTTTGTTGAACATGTTGAAAATTTCCTTTCTAAATGGGAGCGAGCAAGATCGTTCGGATATAATGAGGGGACAGTCCTCTCGATATACCACCTTATAAGCACTATGCGACCTCAATGGAGAGACGGGCTTACTTCGTGAGGGATATGGATTACGGGTTATATTTGGAAAAAGATTGTGATAAGATTGATTTTAAAAGGTACTGTGAGGATATCATAATTTTATAGAATAAGAGACAACAAGCATTGGGCCCGAGCCCGAACCTGAACCAGAACCAAAGCTAGAGCCAGAGGAGGAGCCAAAAGAAGACCCAGAGGAGGAGATCAAGCCAGAGCTGGAAGACCCTGAGCAAGAAATTCAACCACAAAATTTCATTAATTTGGTTGCAGATTCTGAGCCAGAGTCATGCATTACTTTGGATGAAGAGACGCCATAAAAAGAAGATTTTTAGGACTCACTAGGATTAAAAATAAGTGTTATATATTTACTTAGGAAAAGTTTAATTGTTTATTTATTTGATTTTTTAAGAGCAAATTATTATATATAAGGATTTGGAAATTTATATTTCTTCGTTATTACAAAGATTATTAATAATATTACGTTGTTTTATCAAATATTCCTAAATAAAATTTTATTTGTGTTAAGAAAATGTCAAGACAACAACAAAACCAAGCTACGATCATTAGGGATTTGCTAAGGACAATGTAAGATTTGGGTAGGCAACAAGCAAAAACTGGTCCTATGGTGCAAACACTAACAACATCAGCTCAATTGTGAAACAGTTCCATTGCTACAAACCCCCAATCTTTGATGGCAAGGTAGACCCACTAGTAGCCAAAGAATGGATAAGAGGAATGGAGCGAATCTCCAAACATCTATCTTGTACTGATGCTCAAAAGGTGTTATGTGCAGAATTCATGTCGGTTGGCATTGCAGGCCACTGGCGGGAGTCAGCATCTCGCACTATAATAGAAGCAGAACAACGTGCTCTGACATGGACACAATATAAGGACGAATTGATGGGAAAATACTTCCCCCAAGCTCTGAGAGATCAAAACGAGACAAAATTCCTTCAACTTAAACAGGGTAAAATGATACTTGAGGATTATCAAAGAAAATTTGAACAACTCTCAAGGTATGCACCATACCTAGTAGCTACTGAAGCAAAGAAAGCAAGAAGGTTTGAACTGGGATTGCGTCCAAAGATTGGTGGAATACTGGCATCCTCCCAATTCACCACCTATAGCCGAGTATTGCAGACTGCCCAAGCAATCTCAAATAGGTCAGAAATTGATCAAACTCCCTAACAAGGAGCCGAGCCTTCAAGAAAGAGGAAATGGAATGGGTCCAACGAAGAGAAAGGAAAATGACAGAACAAGAAGGCTAACTTCGGATCAAGTTTTGGACAAATCGTTCCACTTTATCCAAAATGCAACAAAATGTATAGGGGTGAATGTCTGTATAAGAAGCATGTGTGCTATAGATATGGTAAAACGTGGCATATTTCCAAAAACTACAAAGAGGAACTTTCGAAAAAGAATGACCAACCAGAAAAGCAAGGAAAGGCCAGAGTTTTTACTTTAACCCAAGGACAGGCTACGAAAGACTCGAACGCAGGTAATTTTGAGAATGAAATTCTCTTAAGGAGGGTACATTGTAACAACTCGAAAATTTTAGAATAAAATTTATTTATTTCACATGTTATATAGTTATATTTTTTTAAAGTTGAGGGCTAAAATGAAAAAAAAATTTAAATTTCTATTTTTTTTTTTTTTTTTTTTTTTCCAAAAAATGATTTGAGGGATAAAATGAAAAATATTTTTAAATTTCTATTTTTTTTTTTTACCAAATAATTAGATTTTGATAGATAGAGATTTAGTATATCAATATTGGGTTCATTGGATAGTTTCATTAAATGATGAACCATGGACTCGAGAAAAAGTTATTTCGGTTAAGTGAGGCCCAAGATATTAAGTTCAAAGATGTTATTTTTATTTGATGAAGAATTGAAGTTGGTTTATGTTTTTAGATAACCATGATTTCACGTGCACAAAAAAATTCTAACTTCATTTGGATAAATGTTAATTGTTAATAATAATCCTAAGTCAATAACTATCTTATTTACCCAACAGATACCATTAATTAGCCGATTACGTGTAGCGTGTGCATTGTTTGATTGTTTTAGAAAACAAATCCTAAAGCAAACCAAAGTCTTCCAACAGTCCTCAATTTTGATGATAAAACAATACTTTTCCCGAAATCAGGTAGATATTGCGAAATTCATTTGAGTCCAACCTACCTATATAGACACGTGTGCATGCATAGAATAACAAACCAATTAAGATTAAGTCAAATCATGGTCACATACTTCAATACATAAACCAACTCTCTGTCACACATGATTTGTTTGAGATAAAGACAAAAGGGTAGTGCAAATCAAATAAATCTTTTGGATTAAATAGGACTTATATTTTACTCCAACCACCCCTATATAAAGCTCATGTATTCCATGCATATACCCACAAAATTTTCAGAAAACTTTTACCTAAAGAAAATAAATAGTCAAGTCAGAGAGAATGAAGCATTAAAAAGGGGGTTTCACGTGAATTTTTCTGATCCATTACAACGTTTCAAATCAACGAGGTAAGATACTTTATGTGCAAGTGTTTTCATTTCCTCATGCTTTTATATTCAATTAAATATGCATGGATTGTCAATAGACATTCATTTTTTAAGAGATATAAAATCCTATGGGATTATAAGAGGACTTAAGATGGGTGTGTCGCTTGGTCACCAATATACTCCATAAGATGAGAGTGGTATGAAATGTAATTTTTATTTTTATGTATATTTATATATGGAAATTGCACGTATCTTATTGGGTGTTTTCGAATATTTACTGTTACAAATTTTTACTGGTTAGTTCGGGTCGATTCGATTTATGATAGGGCGGTGATGCGGGCTACCAAGAGGATTGTAGGAACAAAGAATAAATTTTTCATTAAGTTTTTATACCTTCGTAATTATCTGTTGATTTATTTTAAGACATGTTTATTGTTATCTTTCAGATACGATTACCATGTTTACTTTAAACTTATGAATGATGTAGTTATTATTTATTTAAGAATTTTATTTTGATCCTTTGTTATGCCAAATCAAAGAAAAAATGATTTTTTGGTAATGCTCTGATGTTATGAAAATTTGGGGCGTTACACTACCAGTCCTTGCTGATTATATACCAAATTGTCATGCATGTCAATTTGGTAAACAAAGTAGGATTCCATTTCCTAAATCAACTTGAGTTGCAACTTATTCACACAAATATAACAGGTCATCAAAGAACTTCATCACTTCAAGGTAGCTTTCCTTTACTACATTCTTTTCATTGATGATTTTACAAGGATGAGTGGATTTTTTTCTTAAAATTTAAGTCAGAAATGGTTGGAGTTTTCTGCAAGTTCAAGAAAATGGTGGAGAATCAAAGTGACTGCAAATTTCAGGTTCTAAGGTCTGATAACGAAAAAGAATAGATCTTGACAGAATTTAATTTGTTCTGTGAAGAAGCTAGCACTGAACATCAGCTCATTACTTCGTACATTCCCGAAAAAAATGGAGTTAGTAAAAGGAGAAATAGATACATCATGGAGATTGCTAGATATATATTGCATGAGAAGGAGTTGCCAAAAAAGTTTTGGGCAGAGACAACTAATACAGTAGTATTTCTACAAAATCGTCTTCCAAGCAAAGCTTTGGAAGATAAAACTCCATTCAAGGCTTGGTATAGGTATAAACCTTTATTAAGCTTCCTTAAAGTGTTTGGCTCTGTGTTCTTTGTCCATATTCCAAAGGTCAAGCAGGTTAAACTTGACAAGAAAGCAATTTCAGGTATCTTTATGGGTTGCAGTTCAGTTTCTAAAGCCTACAAAGAGTATCATCCTCAAACAGGAAAATTAGCGATCACTAGAGACATTCATTTCAACAAGGATGAGCAATGGGTCTGGGAGGATCCACAAAGAACAAGTAGACTCTTACAAGAACTTAAAGGCAACTCTCTTGGAAAGCAAACAACAGACCAGTGATAGAATGAATGGGAAGATGATCATCCACTCAGAGGAACAAGGCTACTTTCATACATCTATTAGAAATGTACATGGGCAATATACAAACCTGCTGGACATGAAGAAGCTCTTAAAGATCCGAAGTGGAGAAAAGCAATGGAGGAGGAGATATCAATGATCCAGAAGAATAAAACGTGGGAATTAGTTGAAAGACCTGAAGATAGAAAAGTCATTGGAGTGAAGTGGGTATATAGAATAAAGCTCAATGCAGATTGCTCCATCAACAAATACAAGGCTAGGCTTGCCGTTAAGGGTTATGCTCAGATTTTTAGTGTTAATTACTCTGACACTTTTGCTCCTGTTGCTAGCCATATCAGCACAAAAAGGTCAGAAAGTGTTCCAGTTAGATGCCAAATCAGCTTTTTTAAATGGTGTTTTGCCGGAAGAAATATCTGTGGAGCAACCAGATGGATTTATGGCCCAAGGTAAAGAGTATAAGGTCTACCTGCTCAAAAAGGCTCTTTATGGCCGAAAACAAGTGCCTAGAGTTTGGAATAGCATGATAGATGAACATTTGCTAAGTTTAGGCTTTATAAAAAGCTTATTTGAGGTCACTCTTTACGTTAAAAGAAGGGCAATATTATTCTCATAGTGTCTCTTTATGTTGATGATCTTTTGGTAACAGGAAACAATGCACAGCTAGTTGAGGAATTCAAACAAGAAATGAGCATTTTTGAAATGACAGATCTTGGTCTTATGACTTGCTTTCTTGGGGTGGAGGTCAAGCAAAGCCAAAATGAAGTGTTCATCTACTAGAAGAAGTATGCAAAGGAAATATTGAAGAAATTTCAGATGGATGAGTGCAAAGCAACAAGTACACCAATGAGTCAAAAAGAGAGACTGAGTAAGAAAGATAGTGCTAATAAAGTTGATGAAAGTTATTATAAAAGTCTGATTGGTTGCTTAATGTATCTCATTGTAAAGAGGCCTGACATTCTATTTGCTGTAAGTCTCTTATCTTGATTTACGCATTGTGCTAGTGAAATGCATTTAAGAGCAGGAAAATGAATATTAAGGTGCAAGTTTGAAAAGTGTCCAAACATTAAGATGTGTGGATTCCTAGATAGTGACTGGGCTAGGTGTGATTATGATAAGAAAACAACCTCATGATATTGTTTCAACTTAGGTTCAGGAGTTTTCTCATGGTGCTCAAAGAAACAGCAGATTGTAGCACAGTCCACTATAGAGGCAGAATTTATTGTAGCAACAGCAACATCAACAATAAACCAAGCTTTATGACTGTAGAAAATTCTGTCTGATCTACATATGGAGCAAACGTATAGCACTGTGATTTCTGTTGACAATCAGGCAACAATTGCAATTTCTAACGATCCAGTGTTTCATGGGAAACTAAGCATTTCAATTTCAAGCTCTACTTCTTAAGAGATGTGCAACAAAATGAAGTAGCAATAGTATACTGCAAGTCTGAAGACCAGCTAGCATATTTGTTTAAAAAACCACTTCCAGTCAGCAAGTTCGAGCTTCTAAGGAAGCAAATTGGAATTTGCATTTCCTAAAGCAATGAGGAGTGCTAAATATTGTTTCAGGACTGCACATGACTTTTTATGCTTCTTTATTATTATTTTAGATATTTTTGTTTATCAGTCAAAAGTTAGTCCTAGTCTTTAGGATTTGTAATTCAGTTTACAACTTGCTCTCCTTTCTTGTTTAAATGGCTTGGACTTCGGCTATTCACTTGTTTTTTCAATTTCTTTACAGCTATTTAAATGTAAATATGTTAATTGAATAAATGTATTCCCTAAGCATTTCAATTTCAAGCTCTACTTCTTAAGAGATGTGCAACAAAATGAAGTAGCAATAGTATACTGCAAGTCTGAAGACCGGCTAGCATATTTGTTTAAAAAACCACTTCCAGTCAGCAAGTTCGAGCTTCTAAGGAAGCAAATTGGAATTTGCATTTCCTAAAGCAATGAGGAGTGCTAAATATTGTTTCAGGACTGCACATGACTTTTTATGCTTCTTTATTATTATTTTAGATATTTTTGTTTATCAGTCAAAAGTTAGTCCTAGTCTTTAGGATTTGTAATTCAGTTTACAACTTGCTCTCCTTTCTTGTTTAAATGGCTTGGACTTCGGCTATTCACTTGTTTTTTCAATTTCTTTACAGCTATTTAAATGTAAATATGTTAATTGAATAAATGTATTCCCTTTTGCCACTACCTTCTTGCGACATCCTTATATGCAATTCCAATTTCTTTTATTCTTTTGCCTCTAAAAACCTTCAGTCTACGGAATAGTGATTTTCTCTTGAAACTAGAGACAAGTACTTGATCAACAACCCGCAAATATTGTTTTCACTTCCAATTATTTACCTTTATTTTTCACTTTTGTTTCTTATAACGTGTTAATGTTTTTCTTAGCATTCTTTCCATTCAAAATTCCCCATCACCTAACATAAGCATAGCATGAGTGGAGCTATTAATAATTTGGAGAAAAATATAAAGATAGGATGGCATCAGTCTGCCCGATTCAAAAGACCTCATGAAACAATACCACAAGTGATAATAATTGAAGAAAAAGAAGATTCGATTGACATATTTTTGTTCGTATCTGTGTTACAATGAAATTGACCTCTAATCACAACAAAATTTTAGTGATTAATCCATGTTTATGATATTCATGTTTATATTAACATAATTTTAGCATATGTTATTAATGATTAAATTGTTGATGCTTGATTAGTAAAACATGAGTTGCTTGCACTAAATTGACAATAACTCAGATTTATGTATGAAAAAAGTTTTAAACTCAAACAGATGGAGGTTGAAACTCCGTAATATCTATAATTAAACTTCAAGTATTGGTTTCAAACTCCATCTCTTTAGGTTTAAAAAATTTGAGTTTAAAAAACGGCTTAAATATAGTTATATATATATATGGTAAAAGTAGTAAGTGTTATGCCCTAAATCCAATCGATTTAGGTTGTAAACACTTTTGATATGTTTAATATATTTATATTTGACAATATCTATTATTTATTTAAATTAATAATCTGATGAATAATATTAAATGATAGAGTCCGAAGATTCAAGTTTCAGTAATTTGTTATTCACATGGAGTTGTGATTGTGAGATACAAATCACATATGATTGGATCTTAAATAATCCATGGTCGTAAATAATAACGAAATACGGATATCGTTATTATGGATAAACTACCACATGTGGCATTTCTTACTTGTGAAGTAAGTAGCTGATCTCACAAGTTAAAGTATGACGACACTTAAATGAACACGTGGTTGTTTTGTTATAGAACAAAACATTGAAGACCTGCGAGGAGATTCTACATGGATAACTATCTGAGTGTCAGTCGTTATATGAGGATAGTCATACTTTGACGGTGTTGGATATTGCTCTGCCAAGGGCCGCTAATACAATATCGTTTGGGTATGTCAAGAATTGTATAAATGTTGTGAATGTCTAATAGAGAATTCGTCACTCTTAGATAGTAAGAGATTGTGATCTGCATTTCATTCAATTAAGTCGATAACAAAATCCTTGGTCAAGGTATACTCAGATGTCGAAAAGCAGTTTTCGACTTACAGACTTAATAGTGGAATGAAATATATGACTGATAAATCGGGATGACACACTTCCATATTTCGTAATTGATCGGATCATATTGACAAAATGATTATAGTTTCAGGATAAACAAACAAGTTTGATTTTGTCATACCACATGACATTTCTCGTCACGTGTATTATCCTGACACATTGTTAGATGTCAATTTGGGACGACGAGTGTGAATTGGTAATAAATTAAAATGGTGTTTTTATTTATCTATTTTAATTAGATCAAAATAATATTTCACGTCGTTAGGCATCGTGATCGGGAACCTAATGGGTCGCACACAAAATGAGAACTGGAAGATTGTAATTTGTCAATTAATTAATTTAACAAGCGTTGGATAAATTAATTAATTAGGTTGCTTATTTATGGCACGAATTAATTAA